CAAGTAGAAGTAAATCATAATTTGACATGGTATGGCAAACCCACTAATTAAATTTTTAGCAGGGAAATGGAGGAACAAATGTTATTATAGCTGACTTCAAAAAGTAGAACCAGAAAGGCTATATAGTGTGAATGGCACTTTTTTGTTTCTCAGTTCTGGATATTCTGTGGCTCTTCCCTTCAGTAACAGCAAGCAGGCGTGAGAGAAAGATGTCAAGGTCAATAGATGAGAATTTTGCAGCTCTGCATTTCCTTACTCAAACAAAATGGTTGTACTGCACGAGGAGACTTTGGAATTTACTAAAAAAAAAAATTTTTTTTTTGCTGTTAAAGCACAGCTTGCGAGCTTTGCTGCTACCCCCACCTCCACCTGAACCTCCCGCAGAGCAAATTTATTTTGGCCTGCATTTTTCCATGACTTTTTCCTTCATCTTCAATCATACTTTATTGAGTGTGTAGTTGTCCTTAAAAGAACTCCCAGATTTCTTTTTGGGGTTATTTTTGGGGAGGATTGTGTGGGAGAGGGAGGGGGGAGACAAAAAAAAATGCAACGCACTACATAAAAGTCATATCTAAAACAAGTATTATGTGTTCAAATAAGAAGAACTGAATCAATAAACGAAGTCAGTATGCAGATTTTCAAAACAAATGGAGTTCAGTTTATTGGTAGGACTGAAGAGACCTTGGCTTTTAAAAACCGGTGTTTATTCTGTGGTGCACTTCATTCTAGTCATGTTGTTGAATGATTTCCCCCGTTTTTTTTTCCTGCAGCTGTGCCTAACCACAGCACAAACACTGGAAAAAATGTTTTTTTTCCCCTGCAATGTCCTTAGGGTGGTGCCTTTATTATGCCTTCAGCCTATGGGGGAAACTCCTAGAATCATTTTTAGCATGTTTAATACAACGTTTTCCTCTTGAGATGACAACATCAATGTTATACCCACAAGATGCTAAACGCCTATTTTACCTTACCATTAATTTTTTCTGATAACTCAAGTAATTAGCAGGGAATGGGATCAAGAGAGGCATTTACTGGGCATTTCTGATGCAGGCTCAACCTCGCCCTCGCCCTCCCCCATTAAATCAGCTACATTTGGTACAATTCTGCTGTTCTTTCTTTCTTTCTTTTTTTTTAAGAGCGGACATTGAAGAATGGGGAAAATAAAGAGAACTGCCTG